GTCATATCTGCTGGACCTGATCAGCCAACTTGAAGAGCAAATGTCACCTAGTCAGTCGGGGAGTTGACTCTGTCTATGGATTGTCTGTCTCTATGGCAACTAGAACGGGCACAAATGTTCCGCAACATAATTACATTGTTCTTCGTTTAGATATTTTTTTCAGTGTGCTGTGGTAAGACACGGTTATATGATATGCCATGCAACTCTCTTGCTGATTTTGTTTCTTTATACACTAAAAATGTATAGAAACACATTTTTAAATGAGTTAACTCAAGGCAGGAATTGAATTATATGGCTTCATCATTACCTCTGTTAAATTAGATCATTTATTTTCTACCTTTTATTTTACGTAGTGATCACTACAATAGATATATAGATATATAGATATACATATATAGATGATAACAAGGATCTGATGTGGTAAGAGGATGTCTGCTGGTATATTTGCACATACTGTGCATCACAGCTCCTTGTCCTTAGGATGACTCTCTAACACTTAGTTCATCATACAGAGTTCCTTAGGAAAGTGTGACAAGTGCCTGTATTGCAAAAGTTTCTTCCACAAAAAGATATATGGAGTCTCAAAGTGAGAGAGAATGAACAGGATCCTCTGCAGCGGTGGAGATATTTCAGTGTTTTCCTCCGGCTAGTGTGGGAGTGATTCTCGCATGTGGTGCTCGGATGGTCCCAGTTTTTCCGAGGTCAGTGTTACGACTGAGTTCAACTCTGGCCTCATTAGAGCAGGGAATGTCTTTGTGGAAACAACTGCACAATTTGAAATTGGCTGTGATGTTGACAGTGGACATGTAGCAGTTGAAATGTCCTCTTGAGTGGTGGGGTCAGCTGGGTGGTGCGCTGTGTGGGGGGGGGGGTAACACAGGGGACTCAATCAGACTTGTAGGTTGACTGATACTAGTGAGTTTTTTTTCACCTTCTTCTTTATAAGGTCTGGAGTCGCAGCACTGGCTGCAGAGCTTTTAAGGCGGATGTGTTCCTGGAGGGAGTCCACATCATTGGATGTGGCGTTGAAATCAACGGTTGGATTTGTGGGTTAAAGGAGATCACATCAGTTAAAGAGCAGGGAAAGAGGCACATTGTTAGGGAATGGCAGTAATCCTCTTTTGCGTGTGCTCTCCCCAGTCATTCAGATCCATTTTACCTTAATCACCAAATAAATCTACAATTATATAAAACTGTTCGTCTTTTTGTGGGCACTGGCATATTTGATGTGGATAAAGATCTGTGAGGGTTCAGGTCTGACAAAATTTCATTTATCATCATCATATTACTATTTGAACGTGTGGGTATGTGTAATAGGTCGTTGAGCCTTCATTATTTAACCCTGAAGGTAATTTAGCCAGATCTCCATTGCTCTGCATTGTAGTGAAATTTGAATCCAAACTCCGTTATGAGATAATGAGCATAGTTCATGGTGTTGACTTGCATTTTCTAATAATCTGGGTTTTAAACAGGCAGTGTTTCTTGTTTTCATGCAAAACTGTCTGTCATTTTTTTGTCTGTGTACTCTAAAAACATTTTAAGAATAGAGAATGAGGACTTTCTTTGCAGGTCCTCTTTCATTCTCTGACACAGGATGCATTTTGTCTTTTTATGCAGTGTTGAAACCATCGCAACGCAGGGGCATGAAGACCTTTTCTGCTTAGTTTGATTTAAAAACATCTCCTCAGTTAAAAAAGAATAGATACTTACACTGTATTTGGAAAACCGTTTCTGTAGAACACTTGGATCATGTCCAGTACACCCAGTCTAGCTCAGAATTTTAATTTTCAGTTGGCTTTTTCAAGGCAATCACAGTTAAGAGGAACATAATACAATATAAGTGATCTTGGCATAACCCAAATAGCCCTACATTAAAGAAAGTCCTCATGGCCAGATGCGCCATCCATATATCTTATACATTGGGTACTTTGTTAACAATGGTGTTTTTGAAGACCATTTTTTGAAAAATTACAGACACCTACTTGATTTTTGAGCAATTAACCAAGACTCTAACAAGACAAAAAAACAAAACATTTGCTCTCACTGGAATAACTAACCTCTTATTCCTACTTCATTTAATTTCTGTTGATTTGTGATCTGACTAAATCAGCTTGCAGTCTTATGGGTCTACCACGCCATCTGGGGTGACAGATGATGATTTTTTTTTTTTTTTTTGTGTTACCAGAAAAAGTGCTGAGATGCAGAAAATGTCACTCCTAGTTCTCCTCAGCAGTTCTAATTTATCAATTTTGGCTGCTTGGGTATGAACTCCTGCGAAACATACGGCAGTATTAAAACTCCTATGATCCAACACAGAAAAATCTCAGTATGACTTTCCCCCCAGCCACGGTCTTGGAACACTTTGTAGTGTAGAAAAGAAATTTGGTGCCATCCAGTTTTTCACATATTTGCAGTTGTCAAAGAAAACAAACAGACCCCAACATTAGAGAAAAAAAGAACAAAAAGAAAAAAAAACTGAGTTTGTCAATAGCACTCTATAGATTGCAGATTCCCAATGAGTGATGGCAAAATGCACGTTTCAGAAGAATATGAATTTTAATGTCAATATAAACAAAGAAAAAAAGAGAGCACCAATTCACTGGGCTGCCAGGCACAGTGCCATCTGGAAGACAGGCATGAGGCCAACTGGAAGACATTAAGTCATGAGTGTCATCAACCATAACAATCATGTCACTATCAAAGCATGCCTATTCATTTTAGAAGTGGCTGTAATAGCAGGGGGACAGACCCGGCTAAACAAAACATTATGAAATCAATTATGATTTTCGTTTTTAAATGGCTATTTTGTAAAGATAACCAGATTGCAACTGTGAATGTTAAGAGAAAGAGATGGAAAAACAACATGTCAAGTGGGTTAAAAGCTCAACTATTAGACCTATATATGTCCTACTCCACAGCTTTATAAGAGGAGTATAATTATATTCTTCAAATGACAATACTGTAAATTGCTGCTGCATTTCAAATTGGACTGATGATACATCTACATTTCGTTATTTAAGATAATATTGGGCAAATGTAATTAGAACTACTTGGAATCTTTACAAATAGATTTAGAAATTGATCCACAATTCTGACGTGTTGACCCAAATCCAGTTGCACAGTATGTACTGCCTGGTGTTTTTTCCTTATGCACGTGAACTCAAAGCACACTCACTGTTCATGCCACATTGACCAGAGGTTCCCCCTGCAAATGTTAAAAGGGGACACATCGATAATGGAGCAATTAGTGCATCAATAACCTACACTTCCAATTCTAATGTAGTCATTGGATTTCTGTATATTTCCTTTTTGCTGTCGGATATACCATCTTTATTCTACTGTGTAAAATAGCGCGGTTTCATGTGAGCATGTTGTACTTATTCTGTTCTGAATTTTATTATTTGGTCAAACTGTAATTGGGTTAAGCACTATCAGCAATAAGTCACAGAAACCGATGGTTATTTGATTAATCTAGTTTTTTCTGTGATTCTTAAAAGATGGGTTTCATTTAGAAAAATAAAAATTGGAACTAGAGCCTTTGTTTCGAAGTCATACAATGCTTAATTTAAACATCAATTGTTAGTTAAGAGTAAATAAGATATCGTGCAAACATTCTTCAACAGGCTGTGGAGAGTTACATTTTCATTGAGTATGTTGAATCAAGTAAAGTACGGAAAATTGAATTATTCCAGTATTATTAAGACAGTGGATAAAAAACAGTATTGAATATGGATTGTTCTAGCCTGACTAATCTGTGGGCCATAACAGGCAGTATCGATCAGTTTTTTCAAACAGTGCATCACTAACACAAACCCAGGGCAATAAACTCCACACACATCAGCAACACTGACAGCATCAAAATGAGCAGTACATGATTACAGTCATTAATGAATCCCCTGATGCACCACACAGGCAAAAGTTTAGAAAGTGTCTCCACTTTGAGGTTTTCTATTGTGCTAAACCTTCACACTCAACTTCAGTGTTTTGCTCCTGTTTCAGTCACCCGTATTTGACTCCATACACACAGATCTAAAGTCCCAGGTAAAGCACAGCAGTAAGAATCTTTAAAATATGTCAAAACAATGAAGAAAAGGGCTTAGACTGCCAACATTTAAATAAAAAAAGCTCAAATAATGGGTTATTATAACAGAGTTGAAAAGTTTAAATTCAAACACAATGATGACAGTGTTGAGCTTGCCTGTAGCACTGGGACACAGATGGAATTTCTGCATTGTGCACAGTTAAAGGCTGTATATAATAACAATGTCAAAGCTGCATAAGCTGAATTTAGAAAAAAATAAAAACACCTCAACTACCTTTAATGTGCAAGTTCTTAAAGGTCTTCTTGAAGAAAAAAATAGAAAAGCTCATATTTCTGAATGGTCAATATCTTGTCAAGTAAGAAAGGATTTGTTCCTAAGGGTAGGTTTTCCACCAAAGGTTATTTTAGAGCTGCATTGCTTCCAAGCTCAATTCGTAATAGTGTAATACAGAAATAATGAGTCTCTTAGGTTGTGAGATTGAGATTTTGTATTACATTTTTATTTGATTACTCAGCTGAAACAATCCACGCTGGCCTTCTAGTTTGTTCGGTGTCGGAGCTCACAATATATAATTTCATGTTCCGACATTAATTCCTACATGAAATTCATAAAGCAGAGATATTCATTGAAACTTGAAGCTCTGGGAAAGAAAAAGAACCAAGCAGAGATATGGTTATTATTGCATTAAAAAGAAATTTTGCATTGCCTTAAGGCCTGGTAAGTTTTGTATGACTTATTGACAAAAATAAATCATTTTACTTTGTACGTCTACAATAGAGCAGTAAAATGAAGATTTTTTTTATATCCTTAGTGTACGAATGTTATTTTGTGCTCTCTAAGTGTTTGGATGTGGGCGATATCATTTCACTTTAAAGAATAACTTATGTAATCTTCACCTGTGGAACTTGTGGCAAATGGTGAGCGATTCGCAAAATTGCCAAAAGTTTTTCTTAAAAGAATGATCATGAGTTTGACCAAGATCTTTTTTCTCCTTTTACAGGCAGATCTTCTGATGACCTAATGGAACTGAAGTTGAGAGAAGTATTGTTTTGGGTTGTGGTGCTGCTCTGTGGCTCAGCTGAAGGCAGCATCCTTTATCGAGTCCAGGAGGAGCAGCCTCCCAACACTCTTATTGGTAGCCTGGCAGCTGACCAGGGACTGCCAGATTCAGGTCACCTCTACAAACTCGAGGTGGGCGCCCCTTATCTTCGTGTCGATGGGAAGACAGGAGACATTTTTACGACAGAGATACCCATAGACAGAGAAACCCTGAGGGACTGCCGGTCCCTGGCTAAGGGCAAGCCCTGCTACCTGGAATTTGAAGTGTCAGTGACAGACCTCATACAGAACCAGAGCCCCCGACTTATTGAAGGACGCATCGAAGTGCAGGATATCAATGACAACACCCCGCAGTTTCCCTCGTCTGTGCTTACAATCTCAGTCCCTGAAAACACAATCATGGGGGCATTGTTCTCCATACCTTTGGCTACAGACAGAGATTCAGAGAGGAATGGAGTGGCTGACTACGCGCTAACGGCAGGCCCAGATGCAGCAACCCTGTTTGGTTTACAAGTGGCTGATGACAGGGGAGGAAAGCTCCCCCAGCTAATCGTCCTCGGCAACCTAGATCGCGAGTTGAAGGATTCTTATGACCTCACCATTAAGGCAGTGGATGGAGGGAACCCCCAACGCTACAGCAGCGCTTTGCTCAGAGTGGTTGTGACCGATGCTAACGACAACTCACCAAAGTTTGAAAAGTCCTCTTATGAGGCAGAAGTTTCAGAAAATAGTCCAGTGGGACATTCTGTGTTGCAGGTAAGCTTTTGGTCATATGATTTTTTTTAACTTATATACATTAGTTTGCTGTGTTATTTAAAATCAACTGAAAAAAAAATCTTAAGTTGTATGCTTGCTCTGGTTTATCAATGCTAATAGATAAAACAAATTCAAACCTTACTGTAAAAAAAAATACTTTTTTTGGTGTTTTTTTCTCAAACGATTTAAATGCGAGTTTAATTTACATTTAATGCACATTTTAAAGTCATATTAGAAGTATTAGAGCTTTAGCACATTAAGCTTTTATAGGGAATTAAGCTGCTTATTGCTTGTTGTACTATTATACTTGAGGAAAGAGAGTAAGACTAGCATGATGTCAACGTGTAGGCGTAAGATGCTCTGTGTAAGATTTTCTCAGCATACTGCTGTGAAATCTTCACTGAGTGTCATGAAAGACCCACAGCTTTAATATCTCACCGTATGTCTCCTGTTAATCTAGAAAAGAAAAAAAACACGCAACAGCTGTGGCATAACCATCAAAAGCAAAGAGGACATGCAATAAATAATGTACCTGAATAATTTGTGCATGGTGTGCTTTGAAGTGATGAGACGATGCTTAATTAAGTAATTAATTTCTTCATCGAGCAATTATCAGTGTTTCTTAGTTTACATCTAAACCTATTTTAAGACATGGAATGTACAGTTTTAATCACAGACTATGTTTTGATTGTAGGTCAAAGCCAATGACTCAGACATGGGTCCTAATGGAGAAATTGAATACACCCTTCATCAAGCAGTCGACCCAGTGCCAAGACTTTTACGGATTGATAGATCCGCTGGTATTATTTACGTCAAAGGCCCACTGGACAGGGAGGAAATCAACAGCTTGTCGTTCTACGTGGTGGCGAGGGATAAGGGTCCTCAGCCCAAAAGTTCTAAGACTTTTGTAACCATTGAAGTGACTGATCAAAATGATAATGCTCCAGCTGTGGAGATCCGGGGGATTGGTCTTGTGACTCACAGTGAAGGAGTAGCTAATATATCGGAGGACATGCCAGCTGCGACAGCTGTTGCGCTGGTTCAGGTGTCCGACAAAGATGAAGGAGAGAATGCCGTGGTCACTTGTGTGGTAGCTGGAGATGTTCCCTTTCAACTCCGCCCTGCCAGCGACTCCACCACTGACAACAAGAGGAAATATTTTCTGGAGACCACCACGCCTCTCGACTTTGAAAGAATCAGGGATTACAGAGTTGAGATTGTTGCCGTGGATTCTGGAAACCCAGCACTCTCTAGTACTAACTCCTTAAAAGTGCAGGTCACCGATGTGAACGATAACTCCCCAATATTCTCCCCAACCTTGTTTGAGGTTGATTTTGCGGAGGGAAACCAGTCAGGCGAAAAGATTTTGGATGTCACTGCCTCAGATGCTGACAGTGGCACTAATGCCGAGCTCCTCTATAGCATTGTTGCAGACTCATCTATCAAGGATTTGTTTGAGATAGACTCAAACTCTGGTGAAGTAAGAGCTCGAAGCCCACTTGATCGTGAACGGAAAGAGAAATACGAGTTTCGGGTCACTGCAGCCGACAAAGGCTCACCTGTTCATAAAGGAACAGCAACTGTTGTAATAAGAGTCCTTGACCGCAATGACAATGAACCCAAATTCATGCTTAGTGGCTACAGCTTTTCGGTCTTGGAGAACATGCCTCCACTCAGTCCAGTTGGTATGGTGACAGTCCAGGATATGGACAAAGGTGAAAATGCTCATGTTCACCTTTCTGTGGAACCTGATGGGGGGAAGTTTGTGGTTCAAAATGGAACAGGCACCATTTTGTCAAGCATCTCATTTGATAGGGAGAAAGAAAGCAGCTACACATTCCGCTTAAAGGCAGTGGATGGGGGAGAACCACCCAGGTCCTCATATGTTGGTGTTACTATCAATGTACTGGACGAAAATGACAATGACCCCGTGATCACAAAGCCTTCCAATTCCTCCTTTAAGCGTTTGTCCCCTCTAGCTTCCCCAGAGAGTCATGTTGAGGTTGTAGAGGCTGAAGATCTAGATAGTGGGCCTAATGCAGAGCTCGTCTTTAGTATTGCTGGAGGAAATCCTTATCAGTTATTTCGCATATCCCCCTCTAGTGGGGAGATCACTTTGGCAAAGGAGATGACCCGCAAACATGGAGGACTACATCGTCTGGTAGTTCGCGTGAGTGACAGGGGAAAGCCTGCACGCCATGCCACTGCCCTGGTTCACATCTATGTCAATGAAACCATTTCAAATGTCAGCTTAGTGGAAGCCTTAGTTGGACACAGTCTTTACACACCCCTGGACAGAGACATCGCTGGCGATCCTGATAACGGTTTTGCAGCTCAACGTAGTAACATATTGTTTGGAAGCCTTGCGGGTGTGGCAGGAGTTGTAATGTTGATTTTGGTGGTGGTCTTTATTCGACACCGTATTCAAAGAGAAACAAAGAGTGGCTATCAGGCTGGAAAGAAGGAAACAAAGGACTTATACGCACCCAAGCAGGCGCCAAAGAACACCAAAGGCAAACGTGGAAGAAAAGGCAAACCCCAGAAATCCCCCAAACCACTCGGAGAAGAAGAGGAGGTCAGCCTTCAGAAAAGTCTCAAGTTTAACCTCGATGGAGTCAATGATAGCCCCAGAATACACCTGCCCTTGACATATTCACCAGGAAGCCCTGATATAGGCAGGCACTATCGCTCCAATTCTCCCTTGCCTTCGATCCAGCTGCAGGCTCAGTCACCATCAGCTTCTCAGAAACACCAGGCCGTCCAGGACCTTCCTGCAGCCAACACCTTTGTGGGAACTGGAGGAGATGACAACTCCACCGGCTCTGACCAGTATTCTGATTACAGCTACAAGACCAGCCAACCGAAGTACAACAACAAACAGGTAAACTCAACCCCAACACAATATGACTCCTGTCTATGTGGTCTGTTAAAAGACTGGGTTATTGGTGCCATTTTTCCAGACCCTGAAGAGGGATATTTTAGCTGTTCAATAGGTGTTGACACTGTGCACAACAGCTTAAAAACAACTTTTAGACAGCTGTCACTTAGCTCTTCTCAACAAATGTTCTTCAACAAATTCAATACACGCCGACTCTGTCTGTATCACTACAGACAGGGTGTCACAATATAGACTTTTGTAATCACTTATTGTTCTTTTGTATTTATTTGTTTACCTATTATATTCATATGTATTTATTCTGCTTGGCAGTTCAGTTGAGCCAGCAAGGTCCATTTCTTATTCCGCTCTCCTGCCTGACCTCCAGTGTTCTGATCTCTGCAGGTCACTTGCTCTTATCTCTTTACTCCTTATGCTCTTATCTCCTCTTATCTGAACAACATTTGCCAAGACTCAAATCGCCATGGAAACAGAAATATTAATAGACTCAGGGGGGATTACAAACTGAAAAAAATGTAGTCTTGGGATGGAAAGCTAGTGTGTCTTTAGGTTTCTGTGTCATTTGCAGCAGTGTGAATGTTTGCGTGTGTGCAGCAGGGGATTAGGCAGACTACTATTACACTTAAATAGAATAATGCACTATGAAATACAGCAGAATGTCCAGATGTCTTGATCCCTCTATTTAGACCCAGTCCTTGAGATATTGAAACTGATCAGCCTTTTTTTTAAATAATACACTGGATGCTGAACTAATGTTCATAAAAACAAAACAAAGTAAAACAAAAACAAGACAAAACACATCCGGATTCAGAGGTAAATTTCCTCCACATAGCTTCAAAGTACTCCCAACTCCAAAGACAGCGGAGCACAGGGCCTTTTTCAGAACAACCACAGTCACAGAAGCAGTGTATGATTAGCAACCTAACACGACTGACACCTCTGAACTTCACCGAGTGATATTTTTGTGAATCACACAACAACTAGATCTAACAATGCCACATTCATGTTGCCACAGCAGTTTTCAAAAGATGGCTATCATCCGGTGCTGAAAATATTTGACACTGATGTATACAATTTATTTTCATCCAGCACAAGATGACATGGGCTTTCATGACTTTCCCCTGCATCACTGTGTCACAGGTACAAAACAGTTTGACACCCTCCAAAGCTTTGTGAATCGTGTTTGTCACATGAAAATTAGCAAAAATAGAAAAAGGAAAGCGCTGCGCTGAGTTCTGAACACATGTAAGTGACATTTTCTGTGGAGATATCTTCAGTCGGTCTCACACTTGACTGGTTGGTAGTTTCAGCAGATGCTAGCTGACAGTTTAGGTGATCACAAGCCTTTGTGGGTGGAGTCAGTTTTGAGAACATTCACCACTGTCTCTTTGATGGACAGCATAAGGGACCAAAATGACTGCAAGCCACAGGGTGTGTCTGGGTTTGTGTGTGTAGTGCCAATCTAAGCATTCGCGTGAGGCCTCACTGCTTAGTGGAAGAGTGTTAATTGTTACTGCCGCACAGCTGTAAGCTCTCATCTCGACAGTATTGCGTATGCAGTTTCTCAATATCATAACATAAATGCGTATGAGACGTGACTCCAGTGATTGACAGGATGCGTAAAAACATGGACAGATGCCGAAACTCGTGTGACATGCCTCAGCAGATGTTGTCTCATGTATGGCAATCCCCTCTCACATCAGGAAGAACAGATTGACCAAAATATATAATTAAAGTAACTGCCAAGTGATGTGACAGATGTAGAGTGGTGCCCTTGCTTTAATTAACTGTTGTGCTTCTCGACAATGGCTTTGTATGTGAAATGAGATCTTGTGCCTAGGTTAGTGCTATGGTGCATTCTTCTAAACATTTTGTCAAAAACTCTCATTTCGCAAACACATGTTACCTTATTTAGATTGTTTTTTGCTTAGTTTTTTTGTAGAAACCACACATTGTTCTTTTATCTCCGAAGGAAAAGCTTAAATTACCTTTCACAGCATACAGTTAAGTCTTTTCTCCTATCTACAGTTATATGAAATATCAACTAATAATCATCACTCTTCACTGGTAACACTGTAACACTGTAACAATACACACGTGGACCCTTGTGTACCCGTTTTCGTGAGTTACGGACTGCATATGTATATGCAAATGTGCCAATAATTGTATTAAATAGTGGGTCAGTTGTGTAAATAAAATATATTGCATTGTAAGACTACTGCAATTCCAATATTTACCTACAGTTTCTATTCTGTTTTGTTTACTTACCTAACTATGTTTTTTACACATTTATTATTCATCATAAGCTAATTTAATTGTCATCAAAGATTATTTTTATCTAGCATATTCTCATGCTCTTATAAATGCTAGCTTTGGGAACAGCCCAAGGGTGAATTATAGAATATTTAAGTGCTATACACCTAAGAAAGGATTGATGAGGATGCCAAAGCCCCAACGGATGTCTAAGATGTCCTAATTAGATCACAGTACTATCCAAGCTAATGCCAGCAATATGTGCAAGGCATTTCTTTGCCTTGTTTCCTTACAAAACAAGAGACCACTGCTATCAATTTAGAAACATTTTGATCCTCTCCCAAGACCCTGTAGGGAAATTTTCAGCTCTCTAATTGCTTTAGATGAACCCACTTAGGCATAGAATTCCTTAAAGGTAATTTCCTGTAAATAATGATGTACAACAGTAAATCTTCTGATGAGAGTTGTAGAGAGCTGGGTCAAGAAAGCAAAATAACAAACAAACAGCCAAACAGAGGTTCAGTGCCATGGATAGAGCTTTTCTCTGCCAACCCTCTTTGCAAACGGAGCACTTCTATACCAGGGGCGGAAAAGAAGATGATTTACTTGTTTGGGGCCTATAAGGCAGCTCCATTCCTCTGTGGCCCTTTGTCAAATCGCTTCAAAATTATATGCTAATTATATGTGTAAAATAGTGAAATTTGAAAAAAAAAGAGAAGTAGAAAAGGACCTGCTTAGCTGTAAGCAGTGAGAGCCAGCCAACTCTTCAAGTAAAAAAAAAGACCTGACTCATTTATAAGGTGCTGTTGCTCCCCTGTGCTCAATAGATCTCAAAAGAGGTCTTTACAGTAGTTTTCATTCAGCCTGCACCTGTTTGGGTAATATTGTAATTAAAGTGGGGGAGACTGAGAGTTTTCCTCAGGGTCTTGGCAAGTTAAACCATTCTCTGGTGTGTGCCACAATTTTGTTATTGAGCCTGAGCAGACATTTACATCCAGGGAAATGGAGTTTTCAAAGCAATAAATATGTATGGCAATATCCTATACTGAAAAAAAAAGTATAATGTCCAGCACTTTATGCTCTGTGAAGTTAATATGAGTAGACGCATATAGGTAATAGTTATTCATGAGATACCGTGACTGATAAGTGACTTATTTGGTATACCATGGTATACTTAATGCTGGCACCTCATCTGTTCACAAACATGGACACCAGTTCCCTTATTTACCTTTGGTGCAATAGCAATGTTACGTAGTTCTGGGAATTCAGCTCTACACACCTTCAGAAAAACATCCCTTCTGAAATTATGTAAACATCTCCATCACATTTGGAGCAACTGTGCATGAATTGCATGGAAAAAGGATGCAATTTGTGTGCAATGTAACTTCTATTTGATACATTTTGATGTTGCTTTTGCGCTCGTTCCATAGGGCTAATCGGAAGAAAGAGAGGCAAGGTGTGCAAACATAAACCAAGTTTAAGAAAGTTACAGTCTAGCAACATAAAAGACTGCATATGAATTGTATTTTGTATGAGGGGAAAAATAAATAAATAAGTACATATATGTCACTCACAAATACCTAAAAAAAAAAACAAGCATGTCCCAGCCTTGCCCTGGAGACACTGCAGCTGTTGTGTTGCTATTTGGGTCACGTTTTCTGTGTTTGCTTTACTTGACAGTTCTCGCAATGCAGTGGACTTTTCGGGAGTGCTGTGTGTAGTTTCAGCACACGTGCTGTCAAATTGGTGAAGATATCTTCTTCATTTTTTGTGTTCTCCTCCAATTTGCTTGCGTTTTCTTGACTTGGAAAAAAAAAAAAGTCTGGGCGCTTTTAAAGTTTATTGTATCTGACTTCACGTTCCAACATGCATGTTGTCTATCTAGAAAAAAAATGTCTGTGGTTTGTGCATTGTTCTCATCCCCCCCTTACCACCATCACCCTTGGAGGTGTGATATTGCATGGTGGTTGCTGAAGAAACCAGCGACTCACCTTAGCCATTAGAGCTGATAATTAGCCCTGTTGGGTCCGAGAGCCGACACCTTTTTTCACACTGTGCTTAATGAGAATGTTAAATTTGAACAAAAGCGAGCGGTGTGAAAAATTGAGGATCGTGTGCTAGAATAGCAATCATTACCATTTAAAAGCTGCACATGCCTTCTGTATAAACACACAATTCCTAAATAGTTTATTCATCCACGATAAACAACTGGAGTCCTCCTCTCGGCTACTTGTACGTCTCTATTCCTGTCTGCGGATACCTAAAGCCAATGCGGTGGATTCTCAGAGTAGGAAAGGGGAAGAGTGAGTCAGTGCGAGCCTTAATTAACCTGCTTCTTTGTTAAGCAGGGCCCACACTTTGTGAACTTTAGGCATCCCTTTGAGCTGGGATTAGCCCAATTTAGTTCAATGCAGCTGTTTGAAGTCAGTGGAGGTGTATTTCAGATGAGGCCATAAGCAAAATTTGCTCTTGTTCTACAAATTACACTTTTTTTTCGTTTTCTGACTTGTTCTCAAGACCAGTGGTACCTAGAAATCTTTTCAGATGTGTCACCCACATTTCAGTAAAAAAAAGCTGGGTAAGCAGAGAGCTCCTTGGTTTTTCTTATCTCTTTCTATCTGTTTCCAGTATGCCTTCCAGTGTTTTTTCAGAGACGAGACAAGCACACAGATACTTGCATGCTCACAGTTCTTTGTGCAGCATATATTTGCCCTGGCTGATTAACCAGAAGAGGAAGGCCAGAAGGAGAGTGAGGTAATGCTGGAGTAATTTACCCTTGCCTGCATAGCTTGTTTTGCCTGCTGCGTGGCAAAGCAGGATTCAGTGCATTGCTTTGGCACTACATT